ACAAATGTAGATGATGGCAAACAATAGACCTTTGAGAAAAAATTTGATTAAAGTGTAACCTTTATTTAATGTTTATATAATTCATGTGTTTGTTATTTCATTACTTTGGTCAGTACAGTAATGCTTGTGATTATGTAGATTTGAGTTCTGGGTAAAAGAGGCTGATCTGTTTACAGCACCTACTGGTGGATTAGGGGAAAGAAGACATGCTGTGTTAACAGAAAAGCGTAGGAGAGAAAAAAGGAGGAAGTGGAGTAGCAGCGGCTAACTGCGCGTTTGAGTTTTCTGTCCTGCCGTTCGGAAATAAAGAAGAATTATAAAACCCAACTGTAGCCTGTCTACCATGTACTACCGAGAGCCGGCAACCTATCTACAAAATAACGGTTACAAAAGTCCTCTTCTAGAAGAGAATACCAAATTTTACAATTATAGGCACACTATGACTCTGCACCTGTTTCTGGATGAAAGACTACATCACTGAACTCACACAGAGTCTAAACTGGCCTGTATACCTATATACCCCTTCATTACTGGCTCCCCAAAGAGCAGTGTGTTGAGCCCCTCCCTCTTCTCTCTGTACACCAAATTACCCATCAAACCATCATCAAATATGAATAAGACACAACCATCATTGGACTCATCTCTGAGGAAGATGAGTACACAAAGTGGAGCTAGTGCAGTCCTTCAAATTCCTGGGCATTAATCTCTCTGAGGACCTCACCTGAAAATTACACCACCCAGCAAAGGCTGTACTTTCCCCTGGATGGATCTGGTTAGTGAGCTACATCTTTCTGGCCTGTGAGCTGCATACTGTGGACCGCTAGACGTAATTGTTTTCACTAAATTCTAGGGATGCTCTATATTGTCTTTTTTACCGATATCTGATCTACCAACATTGTCGACTCGTAATTTCCTATAAAAATGCTCGATATATGCTCTCACAAAAAAGGAAAACTAAAACATTTTAGGTTTTCAACATCTCTGATCATTTATCATGCATGCTTATATTTTAAACATTTTCTGTGCAAAATGACAACTACTTCAATAAGTAACAGGAAAAGTGCCATATTGATATTGTCTCCAACAGCAGCTGAATCTCTTTCTCCCCAAGTGTGACACTAAGATGGTGTATTAGTTGGTAATGGATTTTTTCTTAATCTGTAAATTGCAACTAAGATGAGTTTATTTATGCCGTCCGCCATTAAACCAAAAAGAAGGAAATCACGTTGTTATCACTGTTTGATGTCATATATGATGGAATATGATACTAGGAGTAAATAAGCCAATCACACGTAGGCTTCATTTATGTGACATTGCATCGCTGCAATACTTTTACCATGGATTTTACACTGAAACTGTGTGTGATTTCCCGTCTAGCCCAACGGTAACTGCGGAAATTGGTGCATCCCAGGAGTGGCTCACAGAAAAATTAGAACACGATCTTATCTTTAGCGCCTCGGCATGCCGCTCCTGGGCCGCGTCTGAAAATTGCCGTGACGCAGCTTGTTTGTGACACTCCATATACTATTATGGACTCTATTGCAAGCGGTGCCACGCCACTGGCGTTCCACGGCGTTGGCGTTCCACGGCGCTTTTGCTGCTAGTGTGCAGTAGGCTTGAGAGTTCAGCATGGTGTGTATATGCAAATCTTTAAACTAGCAAAAATGAAATGAGTATATGATAAAATACACAGAAATTTAAACACAACACCCAACAGCACAAAGACAAATGAAGAAAAAATGTACCTATCTTATATTTCTTCTTGATGTCCTCTGATGGTTCTGCATATTTTGAGCACTGGCTCAGTGGTTCTCCCTGATCTGAAAAATAAAGAACATTCAGAATATATTAGTAACCAAAGTGAATCAACTACATTTATGTACTAAATCACATTGCAGTGAGTCTACGGGTTTCAGCAAGAAGGAAAGAAAAGCTGTAAAGACAGTAGTGAGAGCAGTCATGTTGTCTGGTTAAGAAACGGCATAAACGAAGAAAAGACGGGAGGTAGAAGAGGTTGCAGAGCTCAAAATGTTGAGGTTATCTTTGGGAGTGATGAGGATGGAAAGGATCAGGAACGAGTGTCACATATGTAAAATCCATCTGCAGTGAACCTTGTGATGTCTCACCATCTGAATCTTCAGCTGGTTCAACCTTCTTCCTTGGCCCTTTTCCTCTGTACGTCACTTCAAAGAGAAGAAAAACAGTTGTAAAATCAAGTGTGACCTTATGATCATTAGGTACTTTAGCCAAGCAAAAGTTTACCTCTTTTTCCTGCTGTCTGTCTGTGATCATCTGATGGTTCTGCTTTTGTGGGCCTCTGAGTCAGAATGTCAGGTTCTACAAGACAAAACATTCATGAACATCAATCCTGTCTGACAGATACCAAATAAAATACTCAAATGTTATCAAATAAGTAAGAAAAAAACTTTTTTACCTCACTAAATCCTACAATAATTTTTTAATGCCATAAAACTAAAATAACGAACTGACCCCTTCTTTCCACCGGAGCCGTCAGCAGCACGTTACTGCAGCAGCACGTCTTGCTCGCGTAAGCTGCTGCTTGGCCCTTCCCACGAGACGCGAAGCAGCAGGGGAGCAGCTGTCACCGACAGAGCACGAAGTCACACAAGTGACTTCGTCAGTAAACACAACAAGCAGGAGAAAACTACAACATGGCTCCAAAAGGTTTGCGTTTTATGTTCTGTCCGTTTTATAATTGCCAATACGGACCTGAAAAACAAAGGAGACCGCTAGCTAGGTGATAACTTCTCATGGGGCCACACAGTTAATAACTTTTTTTAAAGTAAAGCAACCGGAAGGCAGTACATTTCTTAATTCTGAAAATCTCGGGAGCTTCGCTCCGTTCCCGCGTCCGATTTCCTGTCTTTCCTTCCCCAAAAATGTCGCACTTGACCCGTTTCAGAGGCGTTGCGCGTAGAAAATAGAACCGGCGCATAAGGACGGCAACATGCTGCTGACGGCTCCGGTGGAAAAGATTCTGTTGACCACAGCGGTTCCTTTCAGCAGCTAAGACGTGCTGCTGCAGTAACGTGCTGCTGACGGCTCCGGTGGAAAGAAGGGGTAATAGTCAATGGATAACTGAAAATCAATGAGAACTGTTACAGTTGATCACTAAGCAAAACATTTTTTCAATTCTACAAATCGTTTAGTTCCATTTTTCTGTTCTTATCTCATACAGAGTAGCAAAGTTTCTGTTTTTAGCTTATTTTGCTGACAGTTTCAGCTACTTCCCGAAGGTGACAGGAAGTACCCAAAACTGTCAGCAACATAAGGTAAAACATAAACTTTGCTACTCTGTATGAGACAAGATCAGAAAAATGGAACTAGAAAAGAAACACAGAAAGAACATAAGGAGTTTTAAAGAAAAATACTAATATTTTTTTTCTCTGTGGCACTCTATTTCTTTCACATATACACAATTTGAATTAGTATCTCAAACTATTGACTATTCATTTGAAATGTGACTGAACACATGGTCATCATTTAGCCTTTAGTGCAAGTTTTAACGGTAACACATGACCTACCCTCATCATCTTCATATTCCTCCGGATTTTCTTCCTCAGTATCTGCATTGTAATGCATGTCCAGAGCTTCATTACTTTTACCACTGTCCATCAGTGTCTTCTGTTCATGAACATAGCTTTGGCTGAGAGAGGTTTTGCCAGGGTTTTTTAATGCATCATGTGTCTTCATGAGCTTAGGCTGTGAAAAGGTTAGTTCATCCTCTGAGGAAGGAGGAGCTGATGGGATATAATCACTGTCCAAATCATGGCTGGAGTCTGAGAGAAAGTCCTCTGAAGCAGAAAGCTCCTGAAAGAAATAGAGCAAAGACTCAAGTTTAGGACAGGAATTTCTAAACCACAATTCTTAACTTAACCTTTAATTACACTTCAGAAAAATATTTCCAGCTGCTGACTTTGGTTCATTCTTGCACTTCTTACCTTGCTGCTGTATTTTTAAAAAATTTTCTCCAAAATACGTTTAGCTCTAATATAGGGCTGGACGATAATTCAGTAGTTCAATATATCTATCGATAGACATGTGGTGCGATAGATAAAAAAACTGGTCAATAAAACTTCGATTAAAAAGTTTCCTTTTTTCATTATAACCTATCAGGTAGCAGCATACTAGACTCACTACTTAAGCTTGGTTTATGCTTGACGCATTTACTTTCCGCTTGGTGATGCGGCTCGCGGATGAAACGCGCTTCACAAATTGCAGTGTTTATGGTTCATGCGGCTTGTCTCTGCGGTGAGCCAATATTCTCCCAAACTGAATGGGGCAGCATGGAGCTCTACGGCATGCATCCAACACTACACCATAGAAGAAGTAAAAATTACTGTTGTTTACAACATGGCATTCCAGCATTTTTTAACAGCATCCTCATCTTTTCTGACAGTGCGAGCTATTTCTCTCCACGAATTATTAACAACATGTTGATCACGGTGATCTCTGAGAGCTGAATCATACAAATGTCTATTTACGAACCTCTGCCATACTAGTTCTTGCCAGTCCGCCATGTTTTTCCGCGTCCGACCGTCCGCGTGGTTAGAAAATTTCCTAGGTGTGCGTTGCGGAAAGTTTGGGCCGTGCGGAGGCACGGTGGAGGGGCGTGGTTGTTAAAATGACGGAACTTTTCCGCGTGGAGCCGTGCGGACCTCGCGGACGCGTCAAACATTAACCAACCTTCACTCCTAACCAATCAAAACCACAGACTCGGCACGCTACGTCACCAGGCCCTCCCCTCTCAAACCAAAAGAGAGCGAAAGGAAGCAAGATGTCTAGGGCTGCCATGATTAGTCGACTCGTCACGACAACGCAGACAAATAAAATAAACCTTATTTTATAAACAATTTTTTAAAATGTCGCCTGCTGCGGCACGTTGGGCTTTTGCTTCCTGCCTCTCTGCTCAGCCACCACTTTGGCTCCAAGGCGCATGCGCAATGGTGGCCATCCAGCTCAGCCTTCATCATCGGAGAAAGTGTCGAGTCGCAACATATCTGAAAAGTTTGGGAGCATTTTACTAATTCAAAAGAAAGTCACATGGTGCAAACTCTGCAAAGCAAAACTCTTTCACAGGAGCACATCGGCGATGCACGAGCATCTTAAGAGGAAGAACAGAGTCGCCTCGGTAAGTTTACCTCTTGTTAGCAGCTGACATCAACAGAGTTTGTTTATGTTTATGTATTTAGCAGACGCTTTTGTCCAAAGCGACTTACAAGTGATAATCGGCATGTTGCCCTTGAACAACAACAACAACAACAACTTGACATCAGTCATGGGGAGGAGGGAACAAGGAGTGGACAGTAGAGAGGGGGACGGGTGCAGGGAAGGTGCAAGTTTAGAAGATGCTCTCTGAAGAGCAGGGTCTTCAGGAGTTTCTTGACAATTGAAATGGAAGCCCCTGTTCTGTTAGTGCTTGGTAGGTCATTCCACATTTGTGGAACGATGCATGAGAAGAGTCTGGATTGTCCTGAGCGTGGTGTAGGCACTGCTAGTCGACGATCCTGTGATGACCGGAGCGGCCAGGACGAGACGTAAGCCTTTGCAAGAGGATTCAGGTAGAAGGGAGCCGTACCATCTCGGACTTTGTATGCTAGTGTTAGCAGTTTGAATTTGATGTGTGCTGCTAGAGGTAGCCAGTGGAGCTCAATGAACAGAGGGGTGACTTGTGCTCTTTTTGGCTATTTGAAGACCAGACACACTTCATTCTGGACCATTTGAAGAGGTCTCACAGTACAGCCTGGAAGACCAGTTAGAAGGGCATTGCAGTAATAGAGGCGGGAAATGACAGTAGATTGCACCAGGACCTGAGTGGCATGTTGTGTTAGGTATGGTCTGATCTTTCGTATGTTATACAGCGCAAAGCGGCATGAACGAGCAACAGAGGCAACACGATCTTTAAAGGTCAGGTGTTCATCCAGATTTCGAACTGCCTTTGAAGGAGCCAGAGATAGGAAGTCATTTTGGATTGAGATATTGTGCTGTATGGATGGGTTTGCTGGGATGACAAGTAGTTCAGTTTTAGAGAGGTTGAGTTGGAGATGGTGGGATTTCATCCATTTTGATATGTCAGAGAGACAGTTTGATATTCGTGCAGAGACAGTGTGGTCGTCCGGTGGAAATGACAGATAGAGCTGGGTGTCGTCTGCATAGCAGTGGTAGGAGAAGCCTTGTGATCGAATGATCTCACCCAGTGAGGTGGTGTATATGGCAAAGAGAAGAGGTTCTAGAACAGAGCCCTGGGGGACTCCTGTGGCAAGATGGTGCATGGTAGAGGATTGTCCAAGCCAAGAGACAGTGATCCCTCACTACTTCGCGGTTCGTTTATCGCGGATTCACGACTTTGCAGATTTTTTCTTTGGAGCCTTATTCAAGGGAAATTCGCCGATTCGCGGAATTTTTCACCGATTCGCCGTATTTTTCTGTCATGTTTTGGGGTAAGTGTCTAACCAAAGACATACAGAATCAGACTTGAGTCGAGGTAAAAGATAAACAATAATTTTATTTCTTTAATGATGAGAACTGAGGGCGCACTGGTGATCCAGTGGAGGGTAAACCAGGAAGCGGCAAAATGCGGAAGTTCAGGGTGAATGTGGAGTTGAGCCGGGGTGATATCCAGAGGCGAATTGTAGATTTCCAGGTGGCAGAGTAGACGGATGAGGAGGACGAGGTAACGGAGAGGGAGCGTGAGCACGGTGGAGAGCGGGACGGCAGAGCGGAGTTGGTATCCAGGCAGCGAACCGGCGAGTATCCAGAAGTCTCCAAGATGGGAGAGAATCCGGAGGAGAAGCGAGTCAGGCAGTAGTTAATCATACGGCGTGGTATCTGGATAACCGTCCTCCTTTTAAAGCCGTCCCGCTGATCAGGCTGATGAGGATCAGCTGCGCTCCCTCTCCTGTTAAATAAATACTGTAAATATGGTGTCCCTACTTTGCGGATTTTCACCTATCGCGGCCAGGTCTGGAACGCATCTACCGCGATAAATGAGGGATCACTGTACACTAAATGATCGTCCTGTGAGGTACGATTCAAACCAGGCATGTGCTTTCTCTGTGATGCCCATGCTAGAGAGTGTGGACAAAAGGAAGCCATGTTTGACAGTGTCAAATGCAGCCGATAAGTCGAGCAGGATAAGCACTGAGGATTTGGCAGTTGCTCTAGCTTCTTTTAAGGATTCCATCACTGCTAAAAGAGCAGTTTCAGTGGAGTGGCCCTTTTTGAACCCAGATTGGTAAGGGTCAAGCAGACAGTTTTGTGAGAGGTATTCTGTGATCTGCATGAAAGCCACCTTTTCTGTGATTTTGGACAGAAAAAGGAGGAGAGAGATAGGTCGGTAGTTCTCCACATGATTTGGAGGAAGAGATGGTTTTTTTTAGCAGAGGTTTAACCAGAGCATGCTTGACAGAGATAGGAAATCCGGATGTCAGTGAAGCGTTGATCACATAAGTGCCTGCTGCAGCTACTGTAGGAGCAATAGCTTGGAGCAGCTTAGTCGGAATGGGGTCCTGGGCATGTAGTAGGGCGGCTGCACGTGACAAGCTTGGACACACAGTTCTCAGTGAGAGGGGAAAAAGAGGAAAATGAAGCAGTAGGGCCTGAGATGGTTGGGCTAGAAGGAGATTGTGGTAGCGAATGTTCAGGAGTTGCCAGTTGAGTAAACTGATAGCTTATAGCTGCCAGTCAGTGAAGAATGAGGCAAAGGTGACTGCTGATAGATTGTTGGTACGAGGTGGAGAAGGAGGGTTGAGCAGAGTTTTGAATGTCGAAAATAGTTTTTTGAGAGTCAGTAGAGCTGAGAAGAGCTACTTGTGATTATAGCTGCAGCAACACCAGTAGAGATGGTGACGTTGTTACCTTTAGAACACGTTTGTATGTCACATATTTTTGCTCCAGTTACAAACGCTAATGATTGATTCCATCCCGCTACGTTAGAGTGGAGTTTACAGACATATATATGACAACAACCATCTACCAGGCTGGTCCCACTTCACCACCATGATGGAAAAGAAGAGTTACACAACTTTTAAGATGTGTGTGTGTGTCAGTTTCTCTCTAGATACAAATAAAATAAACATTAGAATAAAATGCATTTATGAAAAAATAAAAAGGTCGCTGACTGAACAATCAAGAAACCTAATAGTTTTAAAGCATAAAACATTTTCTTTGTGTTAAAACTTAACCTACTTTATTTTATTTAACAGAATGATTAATCTGGTAAATAAACTAACTTTAATATCTTTTATCTTTACACTAAAGCAGACCCTCAGAGCTGCCGATGATCCCTGACTGCTAACGTGTGGACTAGCCGTGCTACAAAGGCGTACCTTGGTGTGTCCTGCTATTTCCTGAGTGAAGATTGGAAGATGAAGCACTTCAACCTTGCCACCATGCCTCTTGTGAACACAAGTCATTTTTTGTTTTAGGTGCCTACCTCCATGTAGTTGTAGCATTTGTATCAACAGGTTACAAGTTAATTAAAGTTGTTTGCTAAGCTATCATCTTGTCTTTATTATTAGATGGCCCATAGCTGATCACACTTCAGACTAGAAGCTAATGATGGTATATTAGTGCATCCTGGTGCAATAAGCTAAACTTTTATAAATGACACGATTAGTCGACTACTAAAATAGCCATTTGTGGAAGCCCTAAAGACATTGCAGCAAGAAGAGGCAGAGAAAAAAAATCAAAATACCAAAAATAAAATGGCCAGGGGTGCATGTAAAATATTTTCTACATTTTTAAAATATATATATTTTTTTTCAATAATTATCAATTATGATCAATTTAAAACAACATTTATCTACATACTTTTTTGCTATATCATCCAGCCCCACTCTAATAGGCCATTGGATGCTTTTCTTTAGACTTTCAGCCCCATGTGCTGAGAGTTCAGACTTTGGCTCCAAAATACAACTTGGCAGTGGCCAGAAAGAAATGTTGGCTTAATTTTGGGACAACAGTCTGTAAAGCTGCTGCCATGTGACCCCTGCACTTTATCATGTGACAGTAACATGAAGAACATCCTGCAGTCAACAGAGTTGCTCTGCTGAGCTCACACCTTTGTTACAGGACTTCTTGAGTCTTCTAGTCCGACATTAGTGCAGTAATGAGGGAGAACTACATCTATTCATCTTTCTATTCATGCATGTGCTTTTTATACCTGCTTTATCCATTTGGTGAGATGGAGTACATCTGGACAGGTCATCAGAGAACCAACACAACCATCTACACAGCTACTTTCACCTAATGCCATTTTAAATCGCTGTTTTAATGGTGGTATTAGTTAATGTGAGACACAAAGACTTAGCAGCACAGTAGATTGTTTTAGTAATGAACAGGTCATAGTGTGGTAGTTAGCATGATGGAACTTGTGTGTAGAAATGTTCTTAAACATAACACATCTGACCATGCGTACGAACAGCATCTAATAGTAAAATGGTGTGACCGTAGTATTGAAGGTCTCAGTCATCCACGATTCTTCCTCATTCACAAATTATTTTTACCCAATCAGTAATTATGTCTGTGGAGAAACAGTTTTGTCGTGTAATTGATATTGGAACCGATAAAAAGGCATCTGTGACCGACGGGAAGCTGACATTGTAGCATGGTAGATCTGTTGTTGTTGGAAGATTTAGCAGACCGTGTTCTCTAGTGGACATTTTCCCTGTAGTGAGAATCTAGAGGTGCTTTTGAGTAGATGCTGCCTCCTGACAGAGATCCTTCTGGAGCTGTGACATGATTTGAGACCCTTTGTGGAGCCACTGACAAACCACACTAATCTAATTCCAGTCCATACTCCGTTATTGACAACTTTGTGATTTCTTGCCACTGGGACCTTCCAACATGAGTTAGCTGACAGACTGGGCCAATGCTGCCATCAGTGAGCTGCATTATGCCCTCATGAATACAGTGGCATTTTAATGGTGAAAAATCAGGCAGATTGTTTCCTATCTTGATTTGTTCTCAGTTTAACCCTCCCACTGTCCTAATGGGTGACCCCCGCAAGGAAAGTTGACCATTGAGCAGGATTGATGGTTTATCTCTTGAGGTCCACGTGGCAGGGGTGAGGTGGTGCTTACTCCTCACCAATGCCAGCTGTTAGCTTTCTCAGCAACCTTACTAAAGGAACTTTTCTTTCCAGTACAGGAGGGGCCTCTGGTTTATTACGGTTAAAAAGCATTAATCAAGCTAGTTAAAGTTGGGTTGCTATAACACACTGGCAAATAATTTAGTTCCAAACCAAAACCTGAAATAACAGACAGCTAAAGAATATTCTAACCAGTAAATAGTTGTAAATTAAATTTTTCATATATGTTGGTAGTACGTCCATTCCAAGCATTAGCCTGACCCAGGTTCAGTTTACTGGCAATCACAGACGTTTTTAATTCAAACAAAGCTGTTTAGTGTCAGTACTGATTATGTTTGGTTAAAAATATAAATTTGTTATATATGATCTTAAAGTTATAAGTAGAAATGTCTAAACAAATTTAATACAACACTAAATCAGTGAATATTTTGTTTGATTACCAGCTGCCTTCTGCCTTCATGGTGACCAAAATCCTAAAGATGTTTCTAAAACAATTTTTTTTGACAAAATAAAAAAAATTGTCTGTTATTTGTATTTTCTTTTCAAGAAAAAGAAGGGAGAAAAATAATAAAATTCAATTCGAATTTGGAAGAAAAAGTCTGAGATTTTATTTTTAAGCCATATTTAAGTCCTATAGGATAATTAAGAAATACTTACCATTATCTCTTCCTGTTCTTCTTCCTTCTGCTCATTATCTACAAAAAAGAACATGTAAATGTGAAGGAATTTGCCCCCAGTGCATTCATTTCTAAGGTGCTTACCCAACTAAACAGCACATTTTATCAAGCTTTTTGCAAAATCAGACACATGATATAGCATAATTAATATATGAATATAATGAAACAAAATAAATTAAAATATAAAGTACAATCAGGAAGGCTAGAAAAGTCAATAATAATCCCAAGTGATCTGTTTTCAATTGTACGCCCGTTGTGTTAACCGTAAGCTGAACAAAAACGGGCATAGTTGCTCACTCTGCATTGACTGTGGACAGTGAGGAGACCCATCCAATACAGCGACAAAGCTGTTACGTTCTCCAGTGGCCAATGGGGCATCTACGTATTCATGGCTATGATTGGAAGTATTTTCCTTGTTTTAGGTAATGCTTCCAGGGTTTTTCCTGGCTCAAACTGAGGCAGAGGTGGTACCATCTTGACCATGCACCAGCACATGCATATTCTGTGCATTCAACTGCCTCACTTTTTTAAAGGCAAAAATATTTTTTCATTAAGTGTTCTCATCTAAGTTTCTGTTGATTAATTGAATATCCCATTTGACAACGTTTCAAGTGAAACAAAACTGGTTTGCTGCTAAAACATTTGAAATAAAACAACAAAATTATCAGGCTGAAACAACAGACTTATTATAAAAGGTTCAATAATATGCATTAGATTGTGATTTAGTTCCTTTTTCCCATCTGATATTTAAAGTTTAAAATATTTTTAAAAATCGACCTACATTTCAGTAACATTTTAGGTTTTCATTAATAACCCTCACCTTAGTCAAAATAACACATAAATATATCCAGTAAAATATAATGGATTTCATTAACATGCATTTGTACTGGAAATGGTAAGAACATTTAATTTCTGCTGCTAACAATGTAATGGTGGCATTAGGGTTGTCACGGTAACCAGTGTAGTGGTAAACCCCGATAAAAAAGTGGACAATAATAATAATCGTCTTGTTTTAAAAAAATATATATTATCTCGGTGGATTACCGCGGCTGCAATGTAGGCGCGGTGACCCTTACCGACCACCGTATCATCTGCTGCAGTTGCCTGCAGCACATGCGTACTTTGTTGTTTACAACCAAAACTTTCTTGAGGCTAAAGCCGAAATAATGGCCAGAGGAGGAGACGGCAGCGCTCAGGACATTTATTATCTCTCAGAGAAGACAAAGTTGGAAGTATGGGCATTTTTTTTGGATATATGAAGAATGCCGAGGGACAGTTGATAGAAAACGACTATCCTGTTTGCAGCACGTGCAGAAAAAGTGTCTGTGAAAGGCAGCAATGCTTCAAATTTCATGACACATCTGCGTGACCATCACCCACAACTCTACAGTCAACGCAAGGCAAGTTAACATTAGCACTTTTGCTAAAATGCGTGATCCGAGGATTTGGGTTAAGGGAGAATGCAACGATTCACTATATAAAGCAGCCACAGCGCCGCTACCTGCATATAAAAAATTGTCGCGGACACCCCCATATTGAAATGACGCTATGCATTACGGGGCTCCCAGGGGCAGATAAGAGTTGGTCTCTCACGTGGCGGTCACACAAATTTGAACGCAGGAAAAACCCTAGCTTCTCTTCTACAGCTGTATATTTAGTGTGTATTAAAAGTAAAATATGAAATAAAACTTGGCTGAGTGGAAGACAAAAATGAGCTATGAGTACTGCCGGTAACCGGCAGAATGCTGTTGTGGTTTAATGTTCACTAGCTTGTAGTCAACTTTATAGACCGTCTTAAACTATCAGCTGATTGTTTGCTTAACAGATTAAATTGTTCTCCTGTATGGGAGTCAGACAATTTCACTCTGTACAAGGAGCACAGGAGACGAGACTGAGCTGCAGGTTACAGTGTTAGTCTGTGCAGCTAAATTTTCCATCAAAAAGTACCATGTTCAATAAAATAATTTTATTTAAAAAATATTCATGTGTTGTGGTTAAAATTGTGGGTCCTTAGTGTAAAAGTTTCAAATACATTAGGTATTTTGACTGTAAAAATTAATTAACTTAATTCACTAACCTATCAGCAATACTTACAGCGTTTGTTTGTCAAATAAAAATCACAAAAAGATCATCTCACAGTGGTAAACTACTCGATGTCCACCCACAGGCTGTTGGCTTACTCAGTTACTGTACATTGACCATTTACTGCACACAGGTCTACAATGCAGTTTAGTATTAGTAATTACACATTACAGGTTGATGCAGCAGTTTATTTTCTTATTCTCTGTGTGACTTAAAATAATTAAAACTAATTAAACTGCTAATGCACCTCAGTGCTTTTTTGCTGGCATAGTTCCAGGATGAACGCACTTCCGGTAATCATTGTAGTTCTGGACCAGTACTGGTATGTTCAGAGAAGCAAACTCATAGATTGGAAGCAAATGTCTTCTTTACAGTTTGAATTGACTAGAAAGTCAAAGGCAATAGTTTGGGCTACAAGTCCTTTTGTCAATATGTCAGGTTAAATCCCGGTTAGCAAGCTAAAACAGTGGGTTGAAGTTTGCAGCAAAGCAAGTACATTCAAAGCAATAAAAAGGATCCCTGCAGTGGTTTAAGGAATAAAGTAAGATAATTCAACTGTTCTGAACACAAATAAAAGATAAAAATGATCCCCTGATTTTACTTTGTCAAGCTTACAACACAGGCTACACGAAACTACACCAGTTGTCAATATTTTGACAAAATAAACAAAATACATACACACAAACACCTCACACAGTTAACTATGAATAAAAATAAATCTTACCTGGTTTAGTTGCAGACTTTTTTCTGGTTCCAAACACTGAAACAGTTTCCATCTGCTTCTCCGATGCTCTGCAGCTGCGTGAATCCCCTCACTGATGTTGCTTTCAGGAGCACTGGGAAAGTTGAGAACTGCGTGCAGATCTCCACGTTTTAATAGATTAAAAATATTTCTTTTGAAAAATTGCTCATGTAATGACTTTTAAGGAAATTGTTATGCACTTTTTAACACAGTGTGAAATTTATATCTAAAAAGTCAGGGTTCAGATTTGATGTTGAGTGTAACTAGTGTACTGGTAGTTACACATTTTCCTTGAATGCAGCAGAGGTTTAAGAGTTAGCCAGTCCACTGTTTAATGCCACCCATCCCCCACCCTGAGTTAGCCAGTCCACTGTTTAATGCCACCCATCCCCCACCATGACTTCTTGTTGATGAGTGCCTCTGAACTCAAGAGAAACAACCTGTACAGAACAGTTTGGATTGAAAAGGGCCACGTCTCCCTCACCCTGCCTCAATGTTCATGACTTGACCCTGTAGAAAAAAACATTCCCCTTTACATTTTCAACTAGAAACAAAGACTAAAAAAAATTAAATGATTGGTTGTTTTTTTTATCTGAAACCAAAATTTTTAAAAACACCTTCTTTTACATGCTTTTATTTTTAAGCTCACATAAAACTTAGCAAATGGGAGAACAGGATACAGGACTAACTTTGAGTTTAATATTCAATTACCTGTCGGTAAATTCTATTTCTAAATTTTTATTTGATATAAGTTCTTTAACTTCAGACTTGGACTTTCATCATAATGAACTATTGTGGGGCTTGATGGTGGTGAAATTAGTAGCAATGTTGCCTCATAGCAAATAAGCCACCTGTTTCAATCCAGCTTGCGTGGCCTTTTTGTGTGGAGGTAGCATGTTCTCCCTATGTAAGCGCTGGTTTCTTTCCACAGACCAAAAACATGCACATCAATCAAGGTAACTGGTGAATCTAAATTGTCCCTAGTTATGAGTGATTATGCGACTGGTTGTTTGTCCCAGGGTGTGTCTCTGTGATGGACTGAGGCTTGTCCAGTGTTTCTCTTGCCCTGCAACACTAGTGAGAATGATGTAGTTAAAAAAATTATTAAATATTGTGAAGACTATTAAAATATACACATGAAACACAACCTATACTTTTTAAGTAATAATATATGCAAACTCCTTGATGAAAATATTAATTAATAGACTTCCTTCACATGTAGCAACACTATAAAACCACATGTAGACTAAAATGAAAAAAATTGAAGCCAAAGATAAATGTATTGATGTGGTGGCCACCAGCAATTTCACACTGACAACAAGACTGTAATGATAAGTTGTAAGTGCTCACCACATTTCGTCTTAATTGGACGATGGAAGGTGGGTCAAAAAATCCCTACATGCAAGAGCTAAAGGCCCGAAATGGAGCCTGAACTAGATTTGACCCCCTTTTTGGCTGCTGTTCGGCTTACGTTTGTCCGAGGCGCACACAACTTTTTTTGGTGCATCCCGGTTCTGGCCCAAACCATACACGTCAAAGTCATGCTGGTCGGAACCCTTTGAGGGTCCGTTTGGGCCGTGTGGGCAGTTTTCCCGCCTTTCTTGCCATGTGGTCTCAAATGTGGCATTTTTTCAGCCGATTTTCACCAAACAAACACCGATTCCGCATGCAGGCACCACCCCGAGCAAGCCCTGGCAATTTTTTAGCCGTAGCTCATCGTTTAAGTGCTCTTTTGGCCTTGTGGGCACTCGACCGGCAGGTGACTGGGGTCATTCTCTTTAATTGTGATTACTCCTCAACGGAACGGCCAATTGGCCCCATTTTCAGAGGGTATTTCCTCATGGGGCAGCACAATCAGAATTCAGTGTCAAATTCCCAGAAACCCCCCAGAAAAAAATCCTATGTCTGATTTCAGCCACAAAATAGGTTCTTGGACACATAGCTCCAAAAAAGACCTGATGATTCAGTTGGTCCAAAGTAGAAAAAAATTTCTGCTTGTGCCAGTGACCCCATCTTTTAGTATGTTGATCTGGGGCCTGGGACGAGTCCACCTGAGGTGGTGCATGCCAAAGTCTTTTGTGGTTTCCAAGATATAGCCCCCCAAATCCCACACTTTTCACTGTTAGGAGGTGGCATAATTTTGGTGCCATGCGTGCCATTGAGCTGCTTGAAAAGACTGAAACTTAGGCCAAATTGAAGGGTTAAGCATCCCTTTCCCCTGCTTGTTTGCTTTGTAACTAGGACAAAGGTGAACCTCATTAAGGTGTACCTTTAATATTCAGCCGCTGAAACTTGGCTTCTGATTAACCTTGAAATTTTTACTGTAGCTTCAGGTGACCCTCTGGTCCGACCCTCCCATTTTATAGACTGCTAGGCCATACAGAAAGGTTAAAGGTCACAAAACATTTTAGGCCTTTTTCATTTTGGGCTCATTTAAAAGACAGAAACATAGGCCAAAATTAATTTTTAGGCATTTTTCAGGTAATATATCAGCCCCTGAACAAGATAAAAATCTGGAAATATTGGTAAGAGTCGCTACTGATAAGTTGTAAGTGCTCACCACGTTTCGTCTTAATTGGACGATGGAAGGTGGGTCGAAAAATCCCTACATGCAAGAGCTAAAGGCCCGAAATGGAGCCTGAACTAGATTTGACCCCTTTTTTGGCTGCTGTTCGGCTTACGTTTGTCCGAGGTGCACACAACTTTTTTTGGTGCATCCCGGTTCTGGCCCAAACCATACACGTCAAAGTCATGCTGGTCGGAACCCTTTGAGGGTCCGTTTGGGCCGTGTGGGCAGTTTTCCCACCTTTCTTGCCATGTGGTCTCAAATGTGGCATTTTTTCAGCCGATTTTCACCAAACAAACACCGATTCCGCATGCAGGCACCACCCCGAGCAAGCCCTGGCAATTTTTTAGCCGTAGCTCATCGTTTAAGTGCTCTTTTGGCCTTGTGGGCACTCGACAGGCAGGTGACTGGGGTCATTCTCTTTAATTGTGATTACTCCTCAACGGAACGGCCAATTGGCCCCATTTTCAGAGGGTATTTCCTCATGGGGCAGCACAATCAGAATTCAGTGTCAAATTCCCAGAAACCCCCCAGAAAAAAATCCTATGTCTGATTTCAGCCACAAAATAGGTTCTTGGACACATAGCTCCAAAAAAGACCTGATGATTCAGTTGGTCCAAAGTAGAAAAAAAAATCTGCTTGTGCCAGTGACCCCATCTTTCAGTATGTTGATCTGGGGCCTGGGACGAGTCCACCTGAGGTGGTGCATGCCAAAGTCTTTTGTGGTTTCCAAGATATAGCCCCCCAAAACCCACACTTTTCACTGTTAGGAGGTGGCATAATTTTGGCGCCATGCATGCCATTGAGCTGCTTGAAAAGACTGAAACTTAGGCCGAATTGAAGGGTTAAGCATCCCTTTCCCCTGCTTGTTTGCTTTGTAACTAGGACAAAGGTGAACCTCATTAAGGTGTACCTTTAATATTCAGCCGCTGAAACTCGGCTTCTGACTAACCTTGACATTTTTACTGTAGCTTCAGGTGACCCTCTGGTCCGACCCCCCCATTTTATAGGCTGCTAGGCCATACAGAAAGGTTAAAGGTCACAAAACATTTTAGGCCTTTTTCATTTTGGGCTCATTTAAAAGACAGAAACGTAGGCCAAAATTAATTTTTAGGCATTTTTCAGGTAATATATCAGCCCCTGAACAAGATAAATATCTGGAAATATTGGTGAGAGTCACTACTGATAAGTTGTAAGTGCTCACCACGTTTCGTCTTAATTGGACGATGGAAGGTGGGTCGAAAAATCCCTACATGCAAGCGCTAAAGGCCCGAAATGGAGCCTGAACTAGATTTGACCCCCTTTTTGGCTGCTGTTCGGCTTACGTTTGTCCGAAGCGCACACAACTTTTTTTAGTGCATCTTGGTTCTAGCCCAAACCATACACGTCAAAGTCATGCTGGTCGGAACCCTTTAAGGGTTTGTTTGGGCCGTGTGGGCAGTCTTCCCGCCTTTCTTGCCATGTGGTCTCAAATGTGGCAGTTTTTCAGCAGATTTTCACCAAACAAACTCAGATTCCGCATGCAGGCACCACCCCGAGCAAGCCCTGGCAATTTCGTAGCTGTAGCTCGTCGTTTGAGTGCTCTTTTGGCCTTGTGGGCACTCGACAGGCAGGTGACTGGGGTCATTCACTTTTATAGCGATTACTCCTCAACGGAACGGCCAATTGGCCCCATTTTCAGATGGTATGTCCCCATGGGGCAGCACAATCAGAATTCAGTGTCAAATTCCCAGAAACCCCCCAGAAAAAAAATCCTATGTCTGATTTCAGCCACAAAATAGGGTCTTGGACACATAGCTCCAAAAAAGACCTGATGATTCAGTTGGTCCAAAGTAGAAAAAAATTTCTGCTTGTGCCAGTGACCCCATCTTTTAGTATGTTGATCTGGGGCCTGGGACGAGTCCACCTGAGGTGGTGCATGCCAAAGTCTTTTGTGGTTTCCAAGATATAGCCCCCCAAAACCCACACTTTTCACTGTTAGGAGGTGGCATAATTTTGGTGCCATGCGTGCCATTGAGCTGCTTGAAAAGACTGAAACTTAGGCCAAATTGAAGGGTTAAGCATCCCTTTCCCCTGCTTGTTTGCTTTGTAACTAGGACAAAGGTGAACCTCATTAAAGTGTACCTTTAATATTCAGCCGCTGAAACTAGGCTTCTGATTAACCTTGAAATTTTTAGTGTAGCTTCAGGTGACCCTCTGGTCCGACCCCCCCCCCCCCCCCCCCCATTTTATAGGCTGCTAGGCCATACAGAAAGGTTAAAGGTCACAAAACATTTTAGGCCTTTTTCATTTTGGGCTAATTTAAAAGACAGAAATGTAGACCAAAATGAATTTTTAGGCATTTTTCAGGTAATATATCAGCCCCTGAACAAGATAAAAATCTGGAAATATTGGTAAGAGTCGCTACTGATAAGTTGTAAGTGCTCACCACGTTTCGTCTTAATTGGACGATGGAAGGTGGGTCGAAAAATCCCTACATGCAAGAGCTAAAGGCCCGAAATGGAGCCTGAACTAGATTTGGCCCCCTTTTTGGCTGCTGTTCGGCTTACGTTTGTCCGAGGCGCACACAACTTTTTTTAGTGCATCCCGGTTCTAGCCCAAACCATACACGTCAAAGTCATGCTGGTC